CCATCCCCATCCCCATCTCCATCCCCATCCCCATCCCCATCCCATCCCGCCCCGCTCGGCTCCCGGGCCGCCCTGCGCCGCAGCCAAGGCCCAAAGCAGCGGCTCCAGGAGCAGCCGCCTCTGCAGCGCTTCCAGCGGGGATTCCAGCGGAAAGGGAAATTTTCCAGGGAAATATTAAGCTGCTCTGCGACACGTAGGGCTTCCACATGAACCGACCTTTTGAAGGCATTTACACCCTTTCCGTCGAATTTCCTAACAATGCTTCTATTTTCACCCAAGGCAGTTCCATACAACCAGAAACAACCACGGTTAATGTGCAGTGCGGGAACGAAGGGCAGCCGAACCCGCAGGGCTGGGGGGACCCAGGAGCAGCAGCCCCGTGCCCAGACACGGCACAGACATTCCCGAGCGCTCCCGGGGCTCCGAGGCCGCCCAGCCCCGGGACACGAGAGGAACCGCAGCAGGCGACGAGCAGGGGCTGGGGCAGGAAGCAACAAGCCCGGGCAGAGGGGCTAGGACAAGCCTAAGAGACTGTAATAAGCCTGAGGGACTGGGACAAACCCTGGGTAAGGGGCTGGAGCAGGAGGCATTGGCTGAAGGGCTGCGACAAGCCTGCCACAGCGCAGCCCAAAGCCCCGTCCGCTGCGCGCGGCCCCTCACGGAGCGGGGCAGGCTCGGAGCCCGGGCGAAGACTCGGGGACAGAAGAGTCGGGGACAGAAGAGAAGAGTCGGGGGCAGAGGAGTCGGGGGCAGAGGAGTCGGGGACAGCCCGCCGCCCCCCGCCGCCCCTCACCGATGAACCCGGCGCGGCTCATGGCGGCTGCGGGCGGCCGGCGGCAGCGCGGGCGGGGCCGCGCCGCGCTCCCGGCATGCCCCGCGCGGCGGCAGGGCGGCGGGCCGGCGCCATGGCCGCGTTCCTGACGCACCAGCAGAAGGTGCTGCGGCTGTACAAGAAATCCCTGCGGCACCTCGAGTCCTGGTGCATCCATCGGTGAGGGCGAGGGGAGCTGGGAGTGGGCAGCGCTGGCCGCCCTCACATCGGGGCGCTCCGCCGGGCCCGGGGTGGGGGGGGTGGTTGTTTTCCTCCTCACTGTGCATGACCTCTGTCCGTAGAGACAAGTACCGCTATTTCGCCTGCCTCCTGAGGGAGCGATTCGATAAGAACAAGAACGTGAATGATATGGTGAAGGCCACCGAGCTGCTGAGGGCCGGCGAGGAGGAGTTCTGGGCCAGCCAGCACCCGCAGCCCTACGTGTTCGCCGACTCGCCCGGCGGCATCGCCTACGAGCGGTACGAGCTGTACAAGGTGAGCGCCGGCGCCGCCCCGGCAGCGCAGCTGTGCCTGGCTCGGCACCGTCACCCCATTGCTGGGAACGTGTGCTGCTTGTGAGGGAGGAGCTGCGCTGTGCCTGGCTCGGCACTGTCCGGGAACGTGTGCTGCTTGTGAGGGAGGAGCTGCTCTGTGCCTGGCTCGGCAGTGTCCGGGAACGTGTGCTGCTTGTGAGGGAGGAGCTGCGCTGTGCCTGGCTCGGCACTGTCCGGCAATGTGTGCTGCTTGTGAGGGAGGAGCTGCTCTGTGCCTGGCTCGGCTCGGCACTGTCACCCCATTGCTCGGGGACGTGTGCTGCTTGTGCGGGAGGGCCTTGAAAATGGAGATTCTTGATCAGTTTGAACGCCGCCAGTTGCTCTTTCGGGATTTTCTCCCGGCGATAATCGCATCTGCTCCGCTCCAGGCGCAGCCCGGCCCTGGCGGGTCAGGCCGGCGCAGTGAAGGGCTGGGCCGAGCTGGGGCAGCGCCGAGGGAGCTCTGCCGCCTCCCCAGCACAGCCGGGCTCCCCTGGTGAGGGCAGGTGTCACCTTGCCTGTCGGCGACTTCCATTCGCTCAGTCCTACAGTTCTTCCAGCATTTGAGTAATGGGACAAGTTCCATTTCCCTTCATATGCGGCAGTGCCAGATAATGCAGTTTGTGTGCTACTGCGTGAGAGCAGCACTGGCTGGAAATAGAAGCCTTACGTTTAGGCTCTTTAAGGCACTTCTACAAGTATTGACTATCAAGATTGTTTTAAGAGCAAAAGTTCTATAGAAAAACACAGGGACTTTGCATCATTGGCATCATCTTTTTAAATACATTAGAAGTTAATACTGACCTAGAGACTGCCTGCACCTGTTTCTTCATGAATTTGAAAAACGTGCTGGCACAAGATTGGATCTGATCAGATCTTTTTGCATATTAAGTCACAGAGAAAAATATTACATAGATTTATCAGGGACACAATAAAGAATATAAGAGTGAAAAGAGAAGGACTTGCTTAAATTTATGCCAAGGTCAGGGGCCTGAGCAGTAGTTGAGATAATAGTAACAGAGAATCTGGACAGAAAAAGAGCAGCTGAGCAATAAATGGTCAATATTAGTCTTCATACAGAAACACAGACTGGGTTAGGCTTTATTTTCCCAGTTTGATGGGCTAAAACTGTCTTAAGAAAATGACTGTCACAAGGCTTTGGCTGGTTTGTGTATCAGTCCATTTGGATGCTGCTCCAAACTGTCATTTTAGAACTCAGTCTGATTGAATGGAAATAACACAGCTGCTGAACTAAATATCCACACACAGAGAACTCCAATTAAAACCACCAATCAGCCTGAGTCAGAGGTTTGTTCTGTGGTGAGAATCACAGCAGGAAAAGTGTGAATATCACTGAATCTATGATGGTACTGGAGCAACTTCTTTTTGTTTCAGTTGGGAGTTTTGGTGGGATTTTGTTTTATATTCAGTGTTCCTCTTTTTAAAATGTAAACAATTAGGTTTTTTTAATCACTACAAAAATTTAAATTTTGTTTTTTTTCCCTTGTCAGAAGGTATTAGAGGTCAGACCATTCTCAAGATCTTAAAGGCCTATGAAACTGCTCATTTCTTAATAGTTGTAGATAAGCAGAAATGAGCTGAAATGTTCTGTCTTTACCAAGTCAAATAAATCAGTAGTTGGAGAGAAGGATTCCTCTAACCTACTGCCTTCAAAAGAAGGGAGGGAAGAAATCAGATCTTCTCCTCCACCAGATGGAATTTGAGAAGTTTAGAGTAAACTGAGATGACCTGGGACTTGTTTTAGAATGCTGTGATTTAAACATGTCACTGTGATGTCTTCCTGTGGGTCAGGATAATGTGTGAAAAGTTCTGACCTCTGCCACGTGCCTTGAGATAGGCAGCTTTTAAATGGTGTTTTTGTGTAGTACTTCAAAATAGAAAAAAAAAAAACCCAGGGAGTAAGACTGGCTTAATTCATTCAGTTTTTGTGTTTCATTCTTCTGCATGTGTGTACAAATGTGATTTCATAAATAAAAATAGTATTTTAAATCATATTTTTCTTCAACAGATTCCTGAATGGGCCTTGGATTTCTGGCACCCTTCTGAGAAGGCAATGTATCCTGATTACTTTGCCAAACGAGAGCAGTGGAAGAAGCTGCAGCGGGAGAGCTGGGAAAGAGAGGTCAGTGCCTGCTCTGTGCAAGGGAAAGTCTCTTTAGCACACAAGTATCCTGTATGAACAGATGTGTTCTTGGAAAAATTACTGAATGTCTACTGCAGTCTCAGTTAGACTCTTCAGTGCTGGAGCCCTTGTCAGTGTGAAACAACCTCAAATGCCTGCACATTTGTTACAGCTCCTGGAGGGTTGTGAGGAGAATTAGAAGTTAAAGCTGAACCTACAGCCTTGTGTCAGTTAGTAAGAGCTGTTATAGCAGTTTTGTGGGGGGAAAGAGAAATCCAAAATGGGATGAAAGGAGACTAATAATCAGAGAATTCCTCTGCTGCTGCTGTGGAGCTGTGACACTTTCTGGTTACACCTTAGAAAGTGATTTGCTGCATTGGTCATCAGTTGGGCAATGAGACTAATTTCTGGCCATCCTAACTGAGAGTTGATTGGAAGTTCTTGTTCTTAGAAGAGTTCTTTGATTCAGTTGGATTGTATGGAATGTGACACTTGTGCTGCTTCAAGAAACGGGTATTGAAAGCTTGTGAGGGGCTGCTGGTGATGTGCAGGAACAGAAGTCTCCTACTTACTGACTGCAGGGAAACTTGGTCCAGAATTACAATCTCTCAGCTTCCAAAGCAGCACAATTCAGCCTGTTTGACAGAGTAATGGTAGACATGAATTACATGAAAATAATGACCTTTTAAGTGAAATTTCTCTTGTAAAAATCACTTCTTGCTCCTAGAAATTCCTTCTTAATTAGGTAGTATGAGCCTATAGTGATTACTGAGCAGAAATTAAAGTTGGGAAGTGTGAAACCTTCAGCCAAAGATGTTACGACTGGTTCTTCTCTGTGGAAATAGAGAACCAGTGATTCTTTGTTTTGCTCATTGCCTGGGCACTGAAAATGGGAATGTGTGTTAATGTGCTGAAGCAGTTCTGTGTCTTGTCTTCTAGATTAAGCAGTTACAAGAAGAAACTCCAGCTGATGGTCCAACAACTGAAGCTTTGCCTCCAGCTCGTAAGGAAGGGCATCTGCCCCCCATGTGGTGGCATCACGTCACTCGACCTCGTGAACAGCCCATGTGAGAGCACCTTGGGTGTGGATGGCAGCAGTCTGTGCTGCGGGCAGGTGGCACCTCTGTGACCACTTGTTCCTCAAAGTAATAGAATAAAGCCAAATAAAGTAACAGAAAAGGTGTTTTTCTGGCGCACTGCTCTTCTCTAGCACACTGACACCTCACTGCCAGCTTGTGCAGGCAGTTCATTATCACCCCATAACTTGGAATGTGGTACTAAATACTGGCAAAGTGTTAAAGCTGGAATTAAAGATACAGACAGCAGCAGATATGGGTTTTGGGTGCTCTTGCAATTAGGGTATTTCTGACCTTCTTATAAAGACATCTTACCCTTCCTTGTCTCCTCCTTAGGTTCTTTGCTGCATTTTTCACTTCCATACCAAATCTCACAAGACACAAACTTTCCTTACAACATGGTGCTTTCCCCATGGCAGGGACAGCAGTGCTGTAGAGCACCAGAGGAAGGTAGATCCCCATATAAACTGAGCTGTATCAGTTAACACGTGTGGGCTGCTGTTGTGTGCCCATTCATGGGTCACAAATGGTTCCGGCAGTGTTACACACTGAACTGGGGACAGAAAGCTCTTTTCTGCTGGCCGCATTCCCAGAACATTGGTATAAGACAGGGGAAATTCTGCTAACACTTTTCCCTAACTGCCCTGTGAGAGAACAGATGTAATACAGCCACTGAGCAAAAGCTCAGGAAAATTTGGCCTTCAAGTGTTTTCCTGTTTTCAGGGCTAGGAGATTTAGGTTGCCTAATCTGACTTCCTTACAGACCTGGCGTAATGCAGGGCTGTTTCCCTCACATACTCTCACTCTTCTCCCCACCTGCTATTGCTGTACCACAGCGACTTTTTTCTCCTTCTTAAATCTTTTATCCCACAGGTGTTACCACCATCACTGTTTGGTTCAGCCATGGCCAGTGGTGGGTCCATGCTGGAGCTGGCTGGCATTGGCTCTTTCAGATGGGGGAAGCTTCTGGCAGCTTCTCACAGAAGCCACTCCTGTAGCCCCCTGCTACCCAAACCTGACCTCATAAGCCCAGTGCAGTAACAAATTTATACCTTTTGATTAAAATGAAATCACTGCAGTGGCAAAGAAACCAGGCTATTGTGTGGCAGCTCCAAGAGGGAGCAACATCCTCCCCGTTCTGCCTTCAATGGATGCACAAAAATGCAAAGTCATCTGTGCTTCCTTGCCAGGTAAAAACAGTTGCATGGAAATGTCAACTGTTACAGTTTAATGGGAATTTCCATCATTAGCACTGCACTTCTGCTCCACTGCTACCCTGCTGGTGCCCATCAGTAAAACAAAGCTATAAGCAATGTTATTTACTTGGTTTTAATTCTCGCTTGATTGTATTACATGCAGATGGAGCGTGCATGATCTTGAAGGCCACCACTGATATCCAATGCTCTGGAAGCAAAAAGTCTTTAAGAAACAAAATACGGGAGTTTTTCAACAGTTCTTTATTTATAATGTAGGCTTAAGCAATCATTACAATGTAGAAGGGAGACACACTTACAGCAATTATTTATACCAGTTTAGAACAAAAAACTGCACAGGGAGAGGTCAACTCTCAGTACAAACTAGCAACTAAACCACAATAATTTACCATTAGAAACAATTTATTTTTCAGCTGTGACACTGCTTTTACAATATGCAAAAACACAAACAATAGAACTATCCAAAGTGTTTTGTCACATTCTTTCTACATTGAATTTGGCAACATTTTATATTAAATTTTACTGATTATACTAACGTTTAAGAACTAAACAAGTGAAAAGCTGTACTTGGGTACAGTTACATCCATTTATTTCAAAGGTTTAAATAACACTTTTAACTATTATCTCCTAACAGTTTTTGTTTATGCAAAAACCATCTCAAAGCCTCATTTGCACAATGCATCAGCTACTGTATCAAGATTGGTGGGCTACACCACAGGCACTACTGTTTATTATATTCTGTAATAAGGAGCTTGTTTTTCAAAGAAAGGAAGGTTTAGTATCTTCTAAGAATCATGCTTTTTTTTTTCCTTTTGCCTTTAAACCAAAAAAAAAAAAAAAGTTTAGCAAGCACAGCAGTGTAAACTGTCATACAGAACACAGTGACTACACAGTTACTAGAAGTTTCACATCCAATGCAGTTATGTATTAAAGCATAAGAGGTCATGTAGGCAAGTCTAGAGCCAACAGAAATCTGCAGTGTGGTGGAAACCAGCCCCTTACGTGTGTTATTTGGTGCATTTTTAAACAATCCTCTATGCACAAGTCTGGTGTCCCTCCACACATAGGTCTCCTGTGGTGGGCAGACAGCATCCTTCTGGATTGTCTTGACTGGAACACATGTCATGCCAAGGGGTCTGCAAATTTCTGTCAGCTTTAGGAGATGGGTATTGCAGCAATAACTTACTTTTATTTTAAGGAAAAAAATCCAACTCTTAATTATTCTATCAACAGCGTTCCAAAAAACATTACTTAAAAGTACAAAAAAAGAGATTATAGTGGTCAGACTCCCAGTATTATCAAAAAGCCAGTATCACCCCCCACCCCCCAACCCCCCTCAACCCTTTCTTTTCAGTATTTAAGAAAAGCCAATCAACTGCCATTTAAAAGAAGTTAAGAAAAACAAGCCCCTGTATTGGAAAGAAACATTTGCAGTTTATTAGATCACAAGCTGGTTTCACCTGTCAAATTTTTAAGTGTTTTCTCAAAATAGTTGGGCTTTCTAAGGTGCCCAGCCTGCTGGGCACAGTCAGAAAAAGGCATTTTGATAACTTCTAAGAACTCCCTGCTTGCATTTTAGAAATGTTTTCACATTTATAACTGCCTTAAGCCTGTTTTCCTTGTTTGTATTCAGCGGAAGGATGAGTGGAACAAAACATGAAGGTGGAAGAACCAAGCCTACACAGTTATGGCTGCATGCATGTGACTGAGAATTGCTGCTGTGCAGTCAAAAAAGAAATGTGGAAAAACCCAGTTTTTAAAACACCCTACAGAAACAAAACACTGCAATCCAATATGGCTTATTCTGATGCATTTACCATGAAGCTACTAGTAAATCATCCTACTAGGCTACTTTTGTGCAACAGCATCTGCTATTTTGATGGCATCTCCCTCCCCCACTACCCCCCAATAACTCTACCAACTGCAGGTTTCTTCCTTGCATTATATATTGCTTTGTCAATTTTTTTTCCTGCTTTTCAAAATTTTTTAAAATACTTAAATGAGGATACGTTCCATATAGCTTGACTTAAACTGTAGTAAGTCCCATTGTTCTATTTTTTAACCTCACTATTACAAGGCGCTCTACAAAAGCTTGCAAAAAAGCCAAATTTTCATTAAATCCCTTTGCTGAAGTTAACTACTTGACAGTTTTTTTTTTCTTCTATGATTTAAAACTTTACAAAGAGAGTTATAAAAAAGGTAAATGGGATTTGGCACCTTCAGAAAAAATTAAAAGTGTAACTTAGATCAAAAAAATGCAGAAACAAAATCATTGATATTTACAAATTAAAACACCACTGAAGATTATGTCTTACTACACTCTTTCGTTTGTTTGCTCTTTTAGAGTACTTTCAGACTGTCTGTTACCGAGTATCTTAAAAAAATCATTGACTACAGATTGGAATGGATAGAGACAAATTAGTTTTCTCACAGTTCCTTCTCGGCATTCAGTAGTCTGGCAGCTTCTCCACTCCTAGGAAATACGAGGTGCTGAGCGATCATTCGTGGTCGTCTTCTTCAGCTTGACGCCGCGCCGAATGGCGTTGAGCATATCCTCCCCCTGCGGGACGTCGCCGGGGCTCAGCTCGCCGGGCTCCGGCTCCGCCTGCCCGGCGGGCGCCAGGCTGCCAACCGCATCCCGCTCGCCCTCCTCGCCCTCGGGCACCGCCTGCCTCTGCTCCTCGGCAGCGCCCGGCTTCTGGCCCGACGCCGGAGGGTTGACAGCTGCTTGCCCGCTCCACGAGGGCAGGCTGGCCACAGCTGGCCCACCATCTCCCGCTGCCGGAGACTCCAGGCTTTGCTCGGGGCACTCTTCTGTCCCAGCGAGGGCACCGGGCAGCCCCCCCGGGATATCGGGGACAGTCGGCGTTTTGACGGGAATCACCGGCGTCTTGATGGGGATGGGGCCTCCGCCGATGGTCCCGCGCCGGACCGAAGGCTTGGTGGAAGGCGTCCGTCGGATGGTGGCGACGCCGGGGGTGGCGATGACCGGTCCCAGCGTGGTTGGCAGACCTGCGGTGGAAGCAGGACGCTTGGTTTGAAACATTCTGCGATAGGACTGGCTAATGTCACTGTTTCTTGGGATGGTGGAAGATTTGTCAAACTCCTGTTGTTCTGCCTCCTGGTCACCACTCACAGAGAAATAATCATAATCTGAAACTGATGCCAAAAGACAGAGTTAGGATCAAGCTGGAGCAGACAGCTGGCTCACGTCAGAAAGTCTGAAGTACAGATAGATAACCAAAAAAGCCTGGAGTCAGTAAGACTGAAGGGAGTTTCCACCTTTAGAAGGAAGAAGGTCCATGGTTTTGTGACCGAGATTTGGATGCCTGAAGGCATCACATCAGACCAATCCTACAGCTGCAGGGGCCCCATGGCTCTTGTGAAAGAGAACGAGCTCCAAATTTGTCACCAACATGAAGATACCAAAACCTCCAAGCCACATGCCACCACTTGTAGACAGAAATACTTGAAAAATGTAATTTAGATTAGGTAAGTGGGTTCAGGGGACTGTGTACCAGTGATTTCAGCAGCAAATCTGTTTATTTTGCAAACAAAGTAAATGCCAGCTGTCAGCTCTGAAAACTCAGCCTCAGCTTTAATAATTGTACTTTAATAACTGCATGGAGAGGTTCCTTCCTCTCCATGCAAGTGCTGAGCCAAGCTTGGCCCTCCACAAGCCCTGATGCTTTCTGTGACTGCACAGTGCAATCACCCCGGCTGAGGAAACAAGGCTTGAACTGCAAGCACCAAGCTTGGTCTCTCTCTTGCTGTTGGTTCTGAAACAGGGTATAAACCCCAACACCTTACTGCAGCTTCCTAGCTATGCCTAAGTTAAGGTCTCCAATGGATTCTTTTTCCAATTACAACATTTCTGCTTAGGCAGAAAAATAAAAGGTCAGCAAGGAAAACCAAAAGCAGACTGAGAGTGCTGATGGAAGATGCCAAAGCTCGTGAGTGTGTATTTGCTAAGACAATAGCTCAGAAAGCACACAAGAAGTATTGGATGCAATACCAGTGTCATTTATAATTCCAGGATCCTCTTCAAAATGGCAGCATCCTTAGGCTGGAACTCACTGAAGTAGCGCACAAATACAATTGTTAAGTACACTATGCAACAGTGTGGGTTTCTATGTAGTTAATAAATCCAGGCTGCATTCCAAGCTGGAAAAATCGTCCTAACAGCAATGCCAGCCTTCCTCCCCAGCTGACTACAACGCCAGGAAGCAATAGCTGCTCCTTGGCACCATGGGGTGAGTGTGTGATGGCCAGGGTGGGAATGCTCTAAAAAGGAACATCTCCTGAATGGGTACCTTGAGATGGGATCGTGTCCTCTGAACAGCACGGAGTTGTTGTCTGGGTGCTGTAGCCACTGGAGCACTGCAAGGAATCCCGACTGCTCCTCTGGGTGTCCAGCTGCAGCCCTCTGGACAGAGCGAGTGCCAGCTCCTCACAGGCCTCCATCTCCTCACCCTGCTGCTTACACACAGGAGAGAGACTCATTACACCTGCAAGGGTCAGTCAGCTTCACCCACTTTTCGCTATCTCTCCTCCCCATCAAAGCTTGTCACCATTATAATCCAACAGGATTGAGCCCAGCCTTTTGCTTGGGCATAGAACAGATGCTTCTTTGGAGTACACTGTGAAAGTCAGTACCCAACGGTGCATTCCCTCCTGCCTGCATGATTCCCACTGACCACACCAGCACCACTTCCCAGATAAACACAACATGAAGTGCATCCCCAGTACTGGCAGGAGCCAGCACGGCCATTTCCTTTGCACCAAACTGAAATATCTGAAATGAGAGCGTCACCCTTGTGGCAGCTGACACCGTCATGCTCCGAGGTCTCTGGGCCTCCTCGGGGGGCGCAGGGGCTCCGCTCTGAGCTGCTCCATTGAGTTCTGGCTCGCGCTTCTCTTTGCGACGCTGCAATGTGTTCACCATGGGCTGATCGTACGGGCCCGGCTTGGCCCAGTCCTAAGGAAACCAGCTCGTTAGGGACAGCCTTCATCAGGAACTGCGCTTTAATTACAGGCAAGACTACGCAAAAGGGCAATTTTAATGCAACAGATTGTGTATCAAACTGGATATGCCTTTCTGAATAAGGTGAGACATAACTTTTGTGGTATTAAAAATCTTCATTTATTAAACCCGTTTCCTTTATTAAAAGGAATGTAAATTTCCCATTCTACCTAAATGTTCTACTATGAAGGTATTTAACATTTTGATACTATAGTTTTATCTAAATGAAATTCCATGGTGTCAAAGCCTACATTTTCAGAATTTCAAGCTGTCACAAAGCAGAAGATACAGGTAAATGTCCAATCAGTAATGTAACTGTTCCAGATGTACACACATTCTACTATTACATGCTGTTACAGATGTCTTCAGTTCTGAAAAATTAGGCTTGAACAGATTTTTCATACACATCAGTGGAGCAAGTTACTGTGAGTTATCTCTCAGTTTACTTACTAACTGAAATCTAGTTTACAATGATAGCCATACTAGAGAAAGACTAACCTCACTCTGAATTACTGGTGCTACATTTGAAACAGAAATTCCTCAGGACATGAGGGCTGTATTCACTCAGGGCTCTATTAAGCAAAGTCCTGAGGGTGTCCAGAACCCACACGCTGCACACAAAGAGCTTGACTGATCCAGGCTCTGTGCTGGGATGCAGAACCAGTGCTAAGCAGCAGCTCCCCCAACACCAGCTGCTGCCCGGGCAATCCCAATCCTAAACGTTTTCCTTCATTGAGACAAAGGCTGCTTTAAAAATGAAAGGAACAACTAGTGCATGAGAATGGGCCCCACATCCTCCCAGCTGCCTGCTGGGCAGCCTCCCACAGCCTTCTGATGGACATTTAATGATGGACCAAGACCACACTGTGGGCTTCTTGAGGTGTCTCAGTCCAAGAAATGAGAAGTGCAAGGCTACTGAACTGACAGACCCCCTTGGACAGACAGGTATTTGTTTTGTTAACTCACGTGAAACTCTGCTTTGCCTTAACAGCTGTGTCTCTGCTTTGTTTTGTTGTGAAATATTTTCACAACAATTTTTTTGTAAAATATTTTTAATATGTTGAATATTTTGAAAATATTTTGAAATATTTTCACAACAATCTTCTGCAGAGACACAATAAAAGACCCTGAAGCCTCAGGATCACTGTGGCCACCCTGTATGTATCCCAACAGTTTCCAGCTGCTGGAGAGAGTGTAGGGGCATCTGTAATAAGTTATCTCAATTTAGATGTATATACACGGGTCCCGTGGTGCATATGCAGTATTATATAACCATCCACAGGCATTTAAAATCTGCACAGCTACTGCTGACTGCACATCAGCCTTGCTGAGGATCCAGAGCAACAGACGAGACCTTTTCCCTTTGCTCTAGGGCAGAGTCTCCCAGGGAAACCACCTGGCAGGGATGAACTTTAAGGCTCTAGCAAAGCAGACATGTTTTGATGCCAAGTAAGATCCCTGCAGATCCAGCTGGAGCAACTAAGAGAAGTTACTGCACTCTTTTGGTGGTCTCCCCAAGAGAGCAAAATGAGCTGGATGAGCACATCCAGTCTGTGGCAGTAAGGCTTCAGTCACCACCTGGATTTACCTGGTGCTGAGCACCTTCTTAAACCACTCCAGCTGGATCCAGGAGACTGTGCCACGCGCCCAGCCACAGGGAGAACATCAGGCTGTCCAGTGTATGGTCCCACTGAAACAACTGGATGCCCTTCCCTACCCAAGTGAGCACTTTGGCAGTGCTAAATAAGCTCTTTTCCTCATCAATAGAGCCCAGAGTGTTTTCACCAATGTTTCAGAGCTAAATTATTCCTTTCTAGATTTTGTCAGCTTTGGTATGTTTCAGTTGGTACCAGAACAAACAAGGTCATTCAGAAATACCCACAACCAGATTTTAGGTCCGATTTTCACCATGCAGTGCCCATTCAGAGTGATACCAAACAGAGCAAATCAACCAGGAATTACATGGCCCGAAAGGGAGCAACAACTGCCGTGTGCATGCTGTTGGTATGAGGAGGTGAGGACTGCCACAACAAAAGGAACACAAACCTTCCAGCTAGGGATCTTAGATGATGGTAACATGCCTGGCCCAATGGTGTAATAATGAACGTAGTCTGGAAGGAGGGCTGAGGGAGCCCGAGTCCACGCGCGGGAGACAGGCGGGAAATGAGGGAAAGGACCTGCACCAACTGAAGCTACGGATGGGTCACTTGATAAACTACAGTGATAAAACCCATTAGACAACTGGAAATGAAACAAATAAAAAAAACAAAAACAGAGAAATTAATATAAACAGAATGAATATGAAAATACACTGTGACTGATGTTCTAGGGAGAAAAATCTCTGTATCTTAAAACAAACGGAAAGAAATTCTTCAATTTGCTGCAAATAAAAAACAGAAAATTGATACGATGCTTGGTTCATAAGTGAGAGCGCCTGAAAATTGTGATCTGTATCAAATTTCAGGCATCAATCTAGCAGTCATTGTCTCGAGGCTGAGCAGCTTTTCCTTCTGTCCATGAAAGCAGCACACTGTGAAAAAGCCTTTACAATTTAGGTACCCTGCAGACTCTGGACATAGAAATAGAACATTTCCAATCCTGAAGGCATTTGCATTGGTGACATTCAGTCTATGTAGCTGGACAGAGAGGAAAAGCATAAAGCCTTCAAACATGACATGTTCTAGCTGTGTGATGATATGGAAGAACAAAACAACAAAAACCAACAGCAAGGATTTACCAGATGAGAAAGGAGACTGCTATCACTTCCTCCCCCAGTTTAGAGTGTATCCCATGTAATTTATTCCAACCATGTGTATTTTGCTTTCCTTTTTGGTCAAAAAACAACCCCCATTACTCAGTGTAATGTATGCTACCTAATGGGAGAGATGGGAGAAGCCACAAACAGCACAACCTGGGCAAGGTGCTTTTTGTCAGGCAACCAGCTGGTTTGAGCAGAATTCCACAATCTCTTCGAGTAGAAAAGCTGGAAAATTACTTTTTCTTAGAAAATTACCTCTGTAAAATGCCCAATTTGTAGCTTCTCCTAGTAGCTAGTTCAAAGTCAATTGTGGTTTTTATTCAAACATATTGACTTCTAAGGGAGTGTGCAGCAGTTCCTAGTCTCATCCTCACAAAGAGGAATCCTGGATGCATCCCATGCATGGGGGTTTTGTCCAAATGTTGCAGGGTTTGGATAACGAGCCAGTAGGTTTGTATGTCTTGGAGATGAAGATTTTCACCTTATCTGTGGAGGCCCAAGCCCCCATGGTGGAGCCTGAGCTGACTGAGGTGGGGGAACTGCACTCGCTCACTGACTGGCAGGTTTCAGAGGCTTCTGAAGAGGCAGAGCTGGACGAATTCTGCAGCATAAAACAGCACCGCAATGCAGGGAAAGGATACACAAGCCAACAGAAAAGAAAAAAAATCACAAACAAAAAGACAAAAAGCACATACACACACAGGAGAGGGAAGGATGAGAGAAGCAAAGGGTTAGGATTTTAAAGATCAATTAGAAACTGCTCAAAACTATTGCTAATGTTCATGAAATCTATGAAAAAAAAAAAAAAAAGCCACTAGCTTAATGCGAGAACTTGCCACTCTGCTCAGGAATGAAGAAATTGAGGCAGCAATCTCAACTCCTCATTGCAATTTTAGCATCTCAATTCTGCTGCTGTCTCAGAGCAAGAAGCTGAGGGACCTGAGGGCACCTGTGGTCCGAACATGCAATATACTGAGACAACTGATTTATACAGAAAAGCAGATCATCAGTACTTCAAAAACACAAAGTTTAGATTTAAAACATGGAGTAGCAAACATCACATTCACAAGTTCTCGTACATTCTGATCTGCATAAGTGCTTGTGGAAAGCTCATCTGAGTTCAAGTATTATGGAAAAGATAAAGAAGTGATACTTACCAAAACTGCAGGCTTCCAAAGTGCATGACCTGTATGCATGTGCCTCTGCAGGTAGGATGCATACACCAAAAGCACTCTGACTCAAACCCTCCTGTCCAGCAGCCAGCAGGAAGGTACATGCCCTCTGCTGAGTGCAGAAGTGGTGGCATTGCTTGCTACCTGCCTTCTCCTAACAGCAGAGGCAGAAAATAGCAGGGACTTGGAAGGAGAGTGGAAGAAAATGCAGGACACAAAATGTCCACTGAACACATCAAGCATTTTGCTCCTACCTAGGAACTTCTCCAATTTTTGGTGCACACCTTTATGTACCTTTGCTGCTGTCAGACCTCTACAATAACATCTAATTCAACTACACAAAGGCCAAGGGGAATAACCACATGAACCATTTTACCAACTACAATGCTCTTCCACATCTCCCCCTCGGAAGTGGCATCCTACTCTGTAGGGATGTGTGTCCAGGTCCAACTGAGAGTTTAAACATGGTCATGAGCACTGGTAGAGTTGTTAGGGCACTACTGAGCTCTATTCACTCTCAGAAATTCAATACTAGCAAGACCAATTCACTCTTTAGTAGCCAAGGACCTGTGAAACAAGTAAATATAAGGTGTTTATGACAGCAGAGAGAATGTGCTGTTGTATCCAGTTTGTGTAGCAAAGACAGCAATTTCAAGGAATGACATGTTGAAGAAGGGAAATCTCACCTGAAGTAAAATTCCCCAGTTAACCTTAGGTAAGATCTGGGATGATTTGCAATAGAAGGACAGCTGGGTTTGAGGCAGTGTAGGGGCGCAATTACTCCTACAACCCACAAGTTGTCTCACTGCTCACCAGGAGCTACAGATGGGTGGGTAATGTACAGCCAGTTGCCTGGGTAGAAGGAAATGTAGGTCTCCCAGCATGGAACACTGTCACCATAACAATTTTGGTGAAGACTTCTGGGGCAGCTGAGAAGTCAACACAATATCAGCATCTTGAGCTGACTGGTAAACTGTGATTTAAGTGAAATTTTGCAAAGGCTGCTAAAATTTTAAAAAGCATGTAGAGTGATGGGAGTATTTTATAGAAATAACACTCATGCCACTCTATGCTGACATGATGATCTGAAGGCGCCCTGTCAAATGTGCCTAGGGTGCAAGCATGCTCAGCTAACAAGGTTTGTATTCAAAGTGTAATAAGAGTTGAGGTGAAGGTATAATCAGAGGGAACAGCAACAAATGACACATAGGTGTTAAGGACAGCAGTGAAAGTGGCATACCTGATGATGCAGTGGCATGATATTTTAGTGGAACTTGTCACATTCTTGATTTAATGCAACTCCTTTTACTGGAGAAAAGCCTCCAAAAATAAGAATACTAACAAAGATGAGCTGCAGTTGACTCTGCCATCAGTCATAGCCATGGTGAACTAAATGGAGATGAGACTATTGCCTTTATCCCTTGAGAAAAATACATTATAGAAAATTAGCTTTTACACTAAACTCCGGAGTTCTGCCTGACATTCCAGGTACCTCAGCAAAAGAAACCTCATGAGAATACTCACACTACTGTTATGGTTTAACCAGGAGTAAAAACAAGACAGAAAAATGCAATTACAGAAAATACTTTCTGAAACCTCCTACTTATGGCCTGAATGACCCTCTGGGGTCTGCATGCTCTGCACATGGCAGGAGAGACAGTGAAGGGTCCTAGTGCCAAGCATGGCATCTCCCATGCGATTTTGTTTTCTACAGATGCCCCAGGGGTGACAAGTAAGAACCTGGAGTTTACATTTAATACACTATTTGTATCTACAAGACAGACATTGCACAAGGTTTTGTCAAGTAATGGTAGAGAGAGCTCATAGATGAGGTTTATTACCAACAAAGACGCATTAAAAAAGGTCAAAAATTAAGATGCAAAGTATGGGCACAAAAAAAGACTGCATTTGGTGAACTTATTTTTGCAATAAAATCCCTCCTCCAAAGTGAAGTAAAGATGACAAAAAGGACTCTCCTACTAATTCAGTGTATCTATTTTCAGCAAGAAAAGCTAGACAGAGGCTGACCCAAGATGCCATGGGGAAAACATCCTGGAAGCTGATGGAAATGCAGGAGGTGGTAGTACAGAAACAGGGTCTCCTCATCTTCAGAAACTTGCAAGGCACAGACAAAGGGAATCTCTGGTCTTGCTAAAAAAGTATTCTAACAATGGAGAGGGAGGCAGAAGAATACTGAACTCCTGAATGAAAAGCATAAGGAAAACATGACTGGCAGCAGGGCAAAGAATGTTTGGAGAGCCAGTCCTGAATGGCTGCACATGGGTGTGGGAAGCACAGACTTCCCTTCTTACCATAGGGTACACAAGGGACTGAAAACAGAAACTGCACAACTACAGCTTGGGCAAACAGTCTCCAGACTTTGCAGTGCTTGCTCTGGATGCACAAGCCTTGGCACCCTCTCCTGGGAGCACACACACAGGGCAGAATAATTTCTACTCCCCAGCCCATGGTGTGAGAAATTTGACTATCAGATTTTTTTCACCTTGTTTTAGTAGATTCATTTTTTAAAATGACTGTTTTGTTTGAATATTTTTTAAAATAAATTCTTTCATTTTAGCTATTTTTTCCCACAGCTGCAATGTGGCAGTTCTGCTGTGTTCTAAAATTATCTCTTCTGAGAAGAAGCTTAAAATTAACCGTATAAAGCTAAAGCTATTCTCTGCAGTGACAAGCAGTGCCCCAAATGTACATTTGTACAAGTGTAGCTTGGTCTCTGGTCTCTCAGATAAGCTGTGGATAGTGTCCCACTTCTTGGTGTGGTATGTATGAGTTCCAGCAGGGATATAAAAAAAACATTTTCTGAGCTACCCAACAGTACAATTATATTTTCCATCTGCTGTCCTACTAACCTATAAAAGGACCATGGTTATATTGGATTATTTGCATCCTTTGTTTGCAATGTTTTCCACTAAAACATGGCATTGCTTTCTTAACCTTCTCCCGTTCTCAAATAGGAGACAGAGCTTCCTGGACAAGGTTTCCCAGGAGACCAAATCCTAATGATGAGCGTGCTCCAATGTCCCTCTAGAGTCAGTGGAAGATGGGCTCAGCTACTTTTAGAAAAGCTCTGGATCAAGGGTCACCTCCTCAATTTGTCTAATTTCCTGGAATCTGCCTCTACTGACCCTTCTTTCTAGTCAGGGACAAACTATTACAAAGAAGGAAGAAAAGGAATTTTAGAAGAAGCATCAGAAAAGGAATTCTAGAAGAAACAAATATCTGTGATAATTTACAGATGTGTTTCAGTTTGGACTTGATTTTTGGATTTTGTTTTGTTTGTTTGCTTTTGGTGGTTTTTTTTTTTTGGTTGTTTTTTTTTTTGTCCTGTTTTGAGGCTTCTATTAAGGTCTGATTTGGAAGCATTTATTAACTTAAATGGAAAACTGAACAGCTGTAACAATATATTTCCCCTATTCTAACTTGCAGCTATTTCAAGCAATGGAATCTACTCAAAAGCAGACTCTTTGCAGCTTTATAACCTGTACATGCAGAAGCAACATCACATTCAGTTTCCCTCTACTTGACTGTTTAGGGAAAGTGCTTTCCAGATCATTCTAGCAATAAAGACTTATCTCTCTGCTGCCTGACAGTGCATCAACATTTTTATCTTCCTTTGCTTCTTTCTCTCCCTTTGCTTTCATCTCCATGAAGTCACAAGCAACCTGTAAAGTCCAACTGTGCTTCCCCCAGCATGTTCACTTCAAATCCAGCAATGACATTATCATGCCCTGAATCAAACATCACTCTTGTACTATCACATCATGTGAGCACAGATACTTCCAGGCCTCAGTTTTTCTACCACACAGGGCAAGGTGTGGGTTTAGCAGCAGCAGCCACATTGAATGTCCATCCAAGAGCCACTCTGTGCTTCCAGCAGGTCTGTCAGAAGGGCTTTGTATGAGATCACTGTGTGTCATGGGCAATGCTGGCCATCCCTGACCTTACACCTGGCATTTAAAGAAACTGTTCCACTCCAGAAAGAGACCTGTGATGCTTTTCCAGCTGTTCAGCTACATCCGAATGTACCCCTTTAATGATGATTAAAGCCTTTTACAGTGACCTTCCCACATGTTCAGCCATGTGCTACAGGCTAACACTTTTACTCCCAGCAACTGCAGAAAGGTAATCCTCACACACCAGTGGAAGAGCAGTCTGTTTTTATAATTGCTCTTTTTCCTATGTTCTGTGCTAAGTGTGGTAATGGTAAAGACTTACTACTCCTACTAACAACTACAGCCTGGAAAACAATCTTCATTTTGTCAGACATCTCTCATCTGGTATTGTCTGTATCTTGTTTCAATCTCCAGTTACTCTTTGTTTGAGATTCCCACCAACTCCCCCGCTACCTCATCTGTGATTTTGCAGAAATTCCATTTACTTTTCAGTGACACTTGTTTGCCTAAAATATAGGTGAGCTTATATACAAAATAGCTTAAGAAATCATATATTCACATTCCTGTATTATGGGAATTATATATGGCCCCCTCCTACTTTTTTTTCTAAAACTCATGATTAAATGAGAAAGGGCTTTGTTGATCCAACATATGCCACAGCATGTAGCTAGCAAACATCGTTAAAGCGTCCACCTGTACAAGATATACAGGTTTAATCTCCTTTGTTGGTTCCAGAGCTTGCTTTTCTGCCTTCTCAGTGTCACTACTAGAAACAATGTCGTCAGGGTTTGAGACAGAGCAGCAGCCTCCTCCCGCCCAGCCCCGATGCTCCAAGCACAGCCCCACGGGGAGATCTGTCAGCTGGTTAGAGACACACAACACGGGAACGCTGCCCACTGAACAGCTTCTGCTCAGCTCACAGTCACAGTCACCTGTCAGCACAACACACACCATTTACTTAGTGCTGAACATACAAAGCAAGACACTTAAGCAGAGATGAAGCAGCCAGGCAATGATCTGTTACCTTTTCCTCTGCGTAAAGGTAAACAGAACCAGAGACATACAGAGCACATACCTATTTGTTATACCAACACACTACACTTGTCACACTGCTGCAGCCTTCTACAGCTCATGAAAAGCTCAGGTGATGCTTGGATCAGTTTTGCAACCTTATGGACAGTTTCTAAAATGAAGTGAAAGCATATGAACTTAGCTGGTGTAAATCAGCATGACTCCCATCGACTTTCAGGATGTTCTGCCACCTGATACCAGCCTAAGTTCTCTCCTCTGCTTAACAGGGGAATTTGCAGAGAGGTGTTGGTTTTTTTCATGCTAAGAGCAATTGCAAATTTACATCCTTGTCTGCAAACATAGCATCATCATGTGGATTACTGCCCTTTTATGCAGGCGCAGTGGATACTATGAAAACCAAAGATGATGCTAGCATGTGTAACTGATGTATGTATCTTAAAAGTCAACTTCCTTACCTTGTTACTATTCCAGTTTACTTTATTATTGCTCATTTACTTTTTTGCATTTCACTTAGGTTAGCCATAGCCAATCTAAACAAAACATTCATTTTATTAGTGTGCACAAAGTTCTTCAGGATGTCATCTATTAAAACAAAGCTGCTGTGTCCAGACTGGGGACAGAAGAGGTATCATTTGAAAAGAAAGCATTTCTATTAAAATGAAAGAAGGAAATAAAATTTAAAAACCATTGAGCTTCCCTTGAGAACATGTTCCAATCCTAAATGAACCAGTGCTGTTTTGGATGATACTTAAAAAAATTCTCTAAGGGTACTACTTACTAAATGTTCTGCAAAAGGCAAGGGTCTGTATGCTATCAAAGGTGGTCTAGGGTAGTTTCCATGGGCAGGTGACACTTGATAACCACTAACACTTGCTGACCATTACAATTAACACTCCCCAACCATGCCTAAAAAACTAGCTACTCCCCAACATATAAAAAGGAGTGCAACTACATTTTTGAAGTAAAAGACAGTTTTTCTCCAATGACCTCGGGGTGTATTAATATAAGTAATAGTCAACAATAGGACACTAGGTCCTTTTCAGTTTGCAAATAAGATTTTCAATGGGATTTATAATGTGAGAAAAGCAATTCAGCCTTGTTTAAAAATATTACAGTTGCTGTGTGATTTCTTTAAAAACACCCCAAAAATCCAGCAAAGAGAATTCAGGTGCTGAAAGATACAGGCCACAAAGCATTGCAAATCTCTGCCTGCAGATAGCCAGTGAGTTTTTAGAGGAAGGATGCCATGAACAAATAGAGTAGCAGCTTCCTTCTGCAGACCCAAAAATGCTCAGGGAAAGTTTGCTTATATTTCTAGTGAAATCCTCTCCGTCTGACTGGCTTCAGGATGTTATTATATATGGCTACACAAAAACTCATTTCTTATGAGCTCCATAAAGAATTAATAATACCTCCCATTTTCATGCAGAAACCTTATTTCTGCAAGGTCCTCAACTGAGAATCCAAAATTCAAGTCTATCCATAGGAATGGGTGTCATAAAAAATGGCAAAACTAATTCCATATGATAATGCTGGTGGCATTTAGAGTATCCCAGACCCATTGCAGAGGAGGAATTAAAGAAGTCTCTCTAATGCCAAAGCCACCAGTATCAGTGCTGTGGCTGTCAAAAGGATGTTCTGGCATCAATATTTGCCCATTAAACAGCAAAGAGCCTCCAGACATTAACCACTTGCAGCCTGTGCAGGATTAACGAGTAACCTCAGTGGGTAAAGTGAGTATTATTCCCTCTATTAGGTGGGCCTTCTTGCTCTTGGTTGTGTCTATGTTTATCTCAGAGTTAGGCATCTAGGCTCCCTCCAGGACCAGAAGAAAAACTGTATAGCCCAGGAGCGACTCATCCCTTTTATGCCAAAGCAGCATAAATCACTCCAGCTAGAGGCCCAACTTCTGGATAAATGAAACGCTCTGAGACAACCCTTACCCTCAATGTTTAATCTGATTCCAGGTACCCCAAAACCACATCAGATCCTTTTTCTGAAAGGTGAGCTAAGTTAGAGAGCTCACACTCAGGTTTTATTCTCATGCTTGCACGTACCTGGTTAGGTGCCTCTGGTGGCATGGGGGATGGCGATTTGGACTGGAAAGCATCCTGGGACATGAATCCAGAATCATGGGAGGACACACTGGACAGCCTCATGGGTGCCTGCTGAGGCAGATTGGAGCTGCGATAGCGATAGTGTGAACTAGGTGAGTGCGAGTGCGAGCCACTGGACCGGGAATCACTACTGTTAACGCTGTTCAGACTGCTGTGAGAGACAAAAGGAACAGAGAAAGGAAAGGGGAGAGGAAAAGACACAAGGGCGGGGTGGGGAGAGACCCATATACAGTACAATTAACATTCCACATGTCTCTAGCAACAGGCAGCATAAACCGAAAAAGAAAAATGTTGACAAATTAAATATATATATATATATATGCACATATATATCAGTAAAGAACCATAAGCAGCTGCAGTATCCCTGGCAACCAGAGAGAAAATGGCATTTAATATTGAGGGTCAGTTAAATGATCAAATCTTAACCACTCAGACTTCAAACTCAGGTTAGGGATGAAGGAATTGCTACATGCCCTCCCTGAGCATGGCACCTGCTCAGAAAGTGTCTGCTGATGGTTCTCTCCTATTTCTGACTTACACTTGGCCCAGAGTGTCAATGGGATTTCTAGCAGGAGGACCAAAGACACTGGAGTTCATCTAAAAGTCTGCCTCTAGGCATGCTGCTGCAGACAGCCAGCAGGACAGTGTGTGAGACTTCTGAAAGCATCACCAAACTCCCACATTTCACAGTACCTGGGACACGTTTTACCCACTTGAAGGCTTCCTACCAGATAAAGACACATGACAGCACATGGAGTGAAGCCAAGCCACTGGGTATGGAGCTTTAGTCAGTAACAAGGACAACCAGAGAATTAAACCCCAAAATTAATATCCATTAAAACAAACCGAAGTGATTTTTCAAAGGAAGAGACTGATTGCTAATCCTCAGAATCCATGAATGACAGTAGGACATGAGAGCCAAAATGTGTGAGCTTTCGGAATTTCGTGCTGGGGTGGCTGAGCAGGACCAGCAGGATGCACCAGTTTGATGGCAGCTCCCTGCTGCACTGGCAGCAGCCTGACCTAAGGATGGCTCTCAAGGATGCACAGGTGAGGCTGCACCTCCTGTGCACCAAGGCCACATACAAAGAAGATGTGCAAGCCAGCAGGGAGCAGAGCAAGCAGAGCTCTCCCTTGCTTCACCCACACGTCAGTCTGTGCCATACCGTTTTTACTGTACAAGAAGATAAAATTGATTATGAAGAGATGATTTTTTTGGGGGGATTTTTTGCCATTTTCTTTTACAGCTTCAGGATATTGCATCTTTAAGCCTGTGCTCATTGCTCTAAATATGCACATTTTCACATATATATATATAAAAGTACTGATTTTTTTATATATATCTGCATGCAGAGACAAGTAGGTACATAGAAGTCGTGTTCACTTGCTCTGACATGCTGTAGGTAACTTTGCTCATACACAGGGAACCTGTAGTATGTAGTTCATAAAGCAAACTGAAAGGTAGTCATTTGAGAGCAGCTAGAGAGGTGTTGAGCAGAATACACAACAGGGTATCTTCCTTTTCAGTAAAAAGAAAGAGTAAATGTAGACACCAGGATATGGGGGCAACATGCTAATAAACTGTTTTATGAGAGAAAACAGTTTTTACAGAGAAAGCATAGACAGAATCCAGTGTTTCAACATATTTCAGGACAGCATTAGACAGCATTAAACAGTAAAAAAAACTTGTATCAAAAAAGCATTTCCATCTACCAGACTGATAGGGCAATTGTCAAGGATGTTTTTCCTCTTTTCAAATAGTTTAACTTACTGATTAGTAACAGCTACTTAGAATAATCTAAAAAGTCATCACATGAAAAACAGAAAAGGAAATTATGAATGGACAATCTCAAGAGTTTAGATCAGAACAATCTGCTCTTTGATCCAAAATGGATTGAAGAGAACTGAATCAAAAACATCTTCAAGTTGTGTTGAGTTCAAAAGTTCATCAGTCATGCCCATCCTTTTTAATATCCCCAGCACACACTTAAATGAGTAAAGACCATGAGGGACTGTTTCAGTAAGACTTTCTATTTAAGATTTAAGAATGAATACAAATCCATTTCACAGTCTGAACTTGCCTCCCTTTTCCCCCAACAGGTTAAAAATAAATATTACAAATTTACTTACCTGCAAACACTGGATTTTCTGGACATGGTAGTACTGGGAGAGGATGGAGGAGTCTGGTAAGACCAGCTGTAATCAGAACCTTTCAAATCTAAAATTACCTGATGAAAGATAATCAATAGCATCAAGGATGTGGAAAAATTTTCACCCTAGTAAAACAAAGCATCTGCTTGTCATACAACATTCATCCCTGCCACAAACTTTCAGTGCCACTTCAGTCTCAGTTCTCTACCAAAATTACACTGTATCACACAGGTGAGGCAGTTTCATCCTTGGCTTTCCCAGTATTAGCATACTTCAACACTAAGAATGCCACCATAGAAAGGAAGTTCAGATCTAAATGGAAAGAAAACTTTTAGAAAGTAAATTGGGTATCTTTTTTTTTTTTGCATTAAGGAAGCTCTTCTAGTTTTTCTTTCTTTTGTTTTGTTTGTTTTGACTTAAAAAATTTATACAGCCTTTGAGATTAAGTACTGTAACATTTTAAACAATTAACTGAATATTTAGTATTCAGCCACAACAGAGCTTTATACTTCTAGGTCAATGATAAGGTGATTATAAAGTATGACAAAAAAACTGAGTTCACACAGCAGGGTTGCAGAAAAATGTCCTAAGTGGATTTGTTTAATGACACACATTTTCCTATGCATTTTAAGGACACCATGGAAAAATGTTCAAATGTTAGACTCTATCAAGCTACACAACCCCAGCAACTTTGTGACTACAAAAAGACAGGGAGTTCAAACGTAGGGCAAGGAGATGACACTCATTTCTCAAACACTCTCCACAGAAATCGGGCATCTTCATACCCTTCAAAGTGTTACTGCTACCACTTCACTCTGGTCTCACCAAATATTTTAGGGGCACTCAGCCCTTGAAAAAAATTTCCACAACAAAAGAGATTTTTTTTTAATTGCTTATGTTGAAAATGGCCTTTCTGCTAAAAAGCTATTACAAAACATCACATTAAAGCACTAAACACTGGTAGTCAATATTCCTCACAAGACAACAGAAAAAGCCATGCAAGCCACAAATAAAATGTTTTCCAGGTAACAAGAGCTAACCTGTTCACTTGAGGATGGCAATTTGTGTGGATCCATGGTGAGACTTTTCAGGTCATCTGATATGGTTTGTAAATGGGTTATTTCTCCTAGCATTGATATTTCTTCTTCCTGAAAAGAATAACAAGCCAGGATAACCACAGGCTTGGTTTTAAAAATCAGATCTCTAACACAATATATGACCTTTATAATTTTGCTAATGACTTGGGGGATGCCCAGTGGAGCTGCATTTTCTTTCCACATTAATTATGGAAGGGTGAAAATATTAAAGTTTTGTAACTACTTTTAAGATTGCTATAAATTCTAAGGCCAAGAAATCTTTTCTCTCATCAACAAGCTAAGTCTAAGCCTTCTTTTTGTGACATCTTCAGAAAAAGAGTGTCAGTTTTGCTACATTTGACAAATACCTATTTTATGTACACTCATTAATGTGCCCAACAATTTTAAGCTTGAGTGTAAACAGGGGTCAAATTCACAGTTTTTGATAGTTAAGCTAAATGCATTATACAAGTACACAGCATTAATACATCCAGGATTGATTCTGGCTCAATTTATATCGACAGATAACTCAGATGACGATTCCTGCACTGTAAACTACCACAGTAATTCCTTAGCTACCATTTCTTCCAGGTCCTCTGAATCTGGAATTCACCTCCTCCTGCTCAGCCATGTCTTTTCTAATTCTCTAACTATGGTTTTCTATTGACACTGATGCTCTTTGTAAACAAGTATTGGGAACATTTTCCCAGTAGGTTGGTGACCCTTCAGAAATGCATCTCACTTGCACAAAGCCATGAACAATTCCTTGTCAGGCTTCAGACTACCTGAGATGATGAAAATTTACTCAAACCTTTCCAATGAACTGAAAAACTGTCATGTAGAAGGAAAGGAGCTATCAGAAACCTGCACAGAAGCAGCCTGCAATTTGTCAGATAATGTCATTATATACTCAGGGGAGGTCTTGAAACATTTATCAGTCCTAACACTGGAGTAGGAGTAAGGAGGATTTGTATTAAAATGTGATGTTAAGAAGGAAAGCAGTGGAAAAAACTGCATTTGCAATGTCTCAGGCTGGATTGCATAAAGAACACAAGCTGACTTGAGTCTTCATGCTCATTGTTTACCCATCAGTCACCTTGAAGGTATTCAGTGTTTTCCACTGCTGAATTACTTCAAGCGCCTACAAGAAAGGTCCCAACTCTCACCACTTGCTAGACAGAGAGAGATACAGGCTGTATTCTGGCTCTAGAAATTAATTCCTAAAACATAACGAGATACTCTCTTCAGAGGCTTCTGGGCACTTATCTAATCTGTGAATTGTCCTGACTAAAAACGAAGAGCTCTTACGATCACAGGGCGCAGCATCGAGATGAAAGCACAGAATCGACCGCGCTCCTCGATCAGAGCTTTTCTGACAGCTTGCTTCTCAGTTTCTTCAAGCAGCAGGTACTTATCATTGACATCTTGTAAAGCACTATCCAGCTGGGGCTGAATGTCACCCCGTCCTGTATGCAGGAAACAATCAGAGCACATATTGTCAAAACTGTGCCTCTCCAGAGAAGATGACACGATTTTCAGCCAGCACTGCTACTGGATTGTGTTTTTGCAATTTGAGTCTCAACCAGCATTTTCCCTTCATTCAAATCAGTAAGGATGTCCCCTCCCCCCTCAATTAAATTAAGCATTTCAAAGCATTTATTTTTTCCCCTTTTGCACAGAATAGAAATCCAGCTCAATTAAAAAGATTTCAACAAGCCAAAGACAGCATTTTAAATAAGAACTTCACCAGAGCATTAGCTATAGAAACTCTTCACATCATCCTTACTGAAAACCAACACCTTACTAACTGGGAGATGAAAGAACAACTTTCACAAATAAATAAACTAGCTCAGGTAAATCACTAGCCCAGGTGTACTCCTCTACCTTCTTGCATTTGTGCTTAACAAGGTCCTAGTGAGAATTTTGTGGAGCCACTAAATGAATGGATCGATCTCCTATACAAAATGCTACTGTGGACATGTTACTGATCATTGGACCACTGGGTTTGAGTACTCTGCACAAACCAACTGCTGAAACCATTTTCTTCATTCCTGAGTCCAAACTAAACCATACCTCTCAACATAGGTTTTATATATATATATATAAAATGTATATATATATGTAAATGGATACAATTAAATTCCAATGCTTTGCAATAAAAAGCTTTACTATGTTAATTACAGTCAACTCATAATACCAAAACTTTCTGTGACAGCTAAGTATTCTGCACTGACTGCTTATGCTGCATCAAGCCAAAAAAAATGTTCCTCTAGGAATTAAGAGTTGCTGCTTAGACATACTATAATCAATAACATTGCAGTTGCAAGATGATTTCATGCAGCAGACCTCAGTTGTATAAATTTGTTGCCAATCTCCCAGAAATGCCATCACATGCAATTTAACTACCAGGAAGATAACACTGAAAAAATGGTGGGTGAGTTACAAGCAGCTACCCAAAATCAATTTTCTGGATGATAACCTTTCTGCACAAAGGATTTAAAGCTAAGAGCAAGAGGAAAAAAGTCTCTTTATCTGTGTAGTACAAAACGCAGATGAGTCCATGTCAGGCTTAAAAAGGAAAAACCTTTGCCTTACTATTATATATATTTCCTTAATACTCCAGAGCAAGGCAAAGCCAATCAACCTCCCTGCACTGATACACAGCCAGAGCTGCAGGAAAAGAGAGCAGTGATGGAAGCAAAGAGAATTGTGCTGGCTTAGTGGAATTACAGGCTGGATATACCCAAATCTCCTCTGTAGAGAGTTAGATATAGTCCATAAAAAATGCACTGACACCCACATGCAGAGCTTTGCAATGGATCCTGGAAAAATCACATGCAGTGCAACATGGACACAGCCACTGCCAAGGCCACCTGGTACCAAACTTCCAGCAGTTTTCCTGCACATCAGTCTTGCTGCTCTAATGTGGTTGTAAAACTTACTCAGAAGTAAATCAACTTTAAGAAGAACAGTCTGAAGGTCCTCTGCTTCCTCCATCAAAATCAGCATCTACCAGAAGTAAGTTATAGCAGAGCTTTGGGTACCTCCCTGAAGGTCCTGTGCCTTTCTGTCTGTCACCCTCAGGAGACCCTTGGGCCTTCCTGCTTCAAGACCATTCTGTACATTTCAGTCCCTCTCCATACTCTGCCATAAGATGTAGTGGTTAAACATTTCATACTCCTCTGGAGTTGTTCTTTCCAATTCTTTAGGAAACAGAAACCTGCGTGATTGCTCAGGCCCTTTTTGAGTGCTGCCTGGAATAACAATGGGTAAAATAACTACCTGCTGTTCAAACCTAGATACTGGCTCACTACCATGGAGGTACCAAGTGCAAAATATATTAGCTGCAAACTAAATTGAACACTCATTAGTTCAGCTCTGAAGAATTGCTATAAACATTCAGCTGCTCCACCATAATAATGCACATAATGCAGTAAATCTTGTTAAATGCATTTGCCTATGCAGTGAGAACACACGCACTTAAAAGCAACTGGACATAATTGACAAAGTGGGTTCAATTATAGTGAACTTTGGTACTTTCTGTGGAACTTAGAGCAGGACGTCTTGGACCAGAGAAACAAGAGCAGTCAAAACCTGAGGCAAGAATAACTCTCATTTCCACCTGTGTAATTCACTCAATTCAACAAAATTATGAGGATAATGTTCAGGCTGGTATTTTAACCCTTTGGCCAAAGCATGTGTAAAACTAAACCACTCTCCAACTTCCTCTGTACCTGTACAAAATTCCCATTTTATTTCTTCCAGTGAGTCAGTACAGCAACAGACACTCACCAGTATTTGTAGTCTCACCAGTATTTTCACAGACCTGTTTTTATGCTCAGGGGCATTTGGGCAGTCTGTGAAAACACAGAAGCTGTCTCAGGTATAATTCAGAGCAGGAAACAAGCTTAGGTGAATCATTCAGATGAAGCTCTGAAGTCAGATGTTTACAAATGAATACAGTTTTCTCCTGGTGACTTCTCATAACTCATATTTTAGGAGGAGGAAAGCTTTATCAACATCCTTTGAAAGCTGCACAATGCAGACATCAATCTAGCAAGTCTTTTGAAAGCAGGCATAGCTCTTCGCACTCCCTGAATCGACAGCTGCACTCAGCTCAGGAAATTTGAGGGATGAGATCTCTGCCTAACTGAACCAGTTTCCTTTGCTAAGCAGTGCAGAGCACATCCCTACAGCAGCACCCCTACACCCAGAGAACACCACAGGTGTGAGGACCAACTGCTGACCACCTCTGCTCCTCAAGACACCTTGGGTCTCCACTGATTTGAATCTGCTCCTTATCTCAGAAGGGAGTATCAACCACTGGAGAGCAGTGCAGCTCTTTTCCTCCTTGAACAACAAGGATAAGGTTAATTGGCCAAAGCAGCCTTTTTGATTGCAGTATATTTGCTGTGGTCACAAGGCACACTTTCAAGAGGAACATCAGCAAGTGACTATTCCCTCCAGCAGACATTCTCTGGCCTTTAGGCTATGCATTCCAAAACACTTCCAAACCAACACAACTACCACAATGACATAAGATACTTCCAGAAGAGTCTTATCATGCAGCAGCTGTGGAAGTGCACCTGGAAGGACACTCCTAGCCCAGCTGCAGGCAGGTTTGAGTGACCCACCACAGCAACCAGCAACAGCAATGGTCAAAAGCATCCAGTGTAGTCACAGGTCACCAATCTGCAACCAGACTGACACGAACAGGAGGTAGGGATGGCTCTGCAGAGCATGTCCAGCTGCACCCAGAACAAGTCAACAACCTGAACACTGAGGAGGAATTCAAATCCTGCCTTTGTCAAAGAGGAGCTCTGGTGAAGCAGAGAGGAGCACAAATGCAAGACCAGAAGTTGTGGATGGAATTCTCCAACAACACCATGCTCCAACAGCCTGGTGACCGACAGCTGGACACAGGCATGTGACAGCTAACCATGTGCAGGGAGCTGAACTGCTGCTCATCAAAAGTAACATGGATCTGCTGCTACTTCAAGGACAGTCTCAATGTTATCCCCACAGCAGGTGCTTTACATCATTACCATGACATGCAAGGGCTTTAGAGGACCAACATGCAATAGAACTTGCATTTTACAGTATTTTGTGTGAATCCTGGCTGAAAGCCTCATGCAATTTTTAAAATAAAAAAAAATCAAAATATTATTCAAAAAAATCTTTCATAAATGAAAAATATTAGGGAAAAAGGAAAAGAAAACCTAATTTTCAACACCATTTCATGCCTATATTTTATAAGACATACTAGCAAAACTCTCAGCAACACCAAATAATTTTAAAATTCTCTCTGTGCAAGTTGGATTGCTGAAGTTAATGCTGTTACTGACAATGCAATGCAGCAAATATTGGTAGAAATACTGTTTTCCATGTCCTCACAGAAAGACTGCTCCCTTCTACTTTTTTAAGCATCTGCACAGAACTTCAATATTCAATATTGGTCACTTGACTGAGTGGCAGAATTTACCCGGTATGAGACAATGCTGAGTCCGCCTCTACTTGTACAAACCAAAGCAGGCTCCAAGTCAGCCATTCCCAAACCACCTTCTTTACAAGAGCACACCTGCTCCAGCTGCCAGAATGAATAAGCTCTTATAAGTTCTGCACAGTAAAGCCAACAAATGAACTAATATGGATCTGTGCTGAGAACAGAAGAATTCTGTCACCATAAACCTCATAACTGGGATTAACCTCAGACTCCTTCAGAAACCAAATCTGAGTCTTTCTTTTGGCTACTGGAGATCTGAGTCAGCTGCTCATGTTAAAAAGTGCAAAGTTTTGCCTTAACAGAAAAGCTACAAGTTGACAAATGGCATTTCTAGATTTAATTACAAACCAGGAAAACCACAATGCATGGTTTCAAAAAATGGGGACAAGCAGCAGCCTCAACAAGGCTGCTCCAGGAACCCACTGGAGGTGCCTTGTTTGAGAGCTTGCTGATTTATCAATTCAGGCTTCTCCCAAAGGCAACACCTACATCACCACACTTACAAGTGCAGGTATGACTACTTTGCTCAGATTCAGAAACACCATGCTTCATTCACAATGGGATTTCAAGGCAGCTACTTTAAATTTGCAAAATAGCTGAAACAGCACCCCAATTTAAACATATTTGAGATGTGATCAGGCAACAGGGGACAACTGTGATGCTGAATTCCAACAATTTCCCCAGCATGAAGAAAATATAGTGATTTATCTATCAGGTAAGAAAGATGCATGCGATTTTCATAAAAAAGGGAGTTTGGATCACAGGTTACAAAGACCAACATTAAGGACTTTAGGCTCTAGACTTTAAAAGTCATATTAACAATAAGATACTCAATTATTTGAACCTTGATGACATGTCTATTCCATTTAACTTCTCTCCCAGCTGTGACAAGATTTATCTGTCCATGTTATCCCTTTCTAAAATAAACCAGAGGTTTATCCACAATACTGGGTTTCTTCTTTTACAGTGTTCCAATTAGATGCCAAAAGAAAATAAATGAAAAGATGGTTTGTTCATCAAGATTAGACAATATTTTAGTTGCATTAGAAATTAAAGTCTAGGCAGTTAGTGGAGACCAGACACCATAAAGAGGCCACAGCAAGGGCTACAATAAACCAGCCACCAGGGTCACAGCATGGCACAGACTTACCCAGAGCCTCAGCTGTCAGGCACGTGCGCATGGTGAGAAATTGCAGGACACAAAATTGACACAGAAAGGAAAATAAAAAAAGTCAAACTGGTATTCCAGCATTCCTAGAATTTAGACATTATCATCAGCGCCAAGACAAGAGAGGAAGCAGTTTGGACTAGACTATTTTGACTTCTTCTGTTGCTGATAAAGACAAATGTATTAGTTTTGCATCCTGGTGAGCTGTTGCAAATTAAAACCCTGGTTATTTACCACACAGTTTAGACTCCTCAGTGAGAAGCTGTAACCTGTGCTTCAGAGAAAGGCACAACACAGATAACCAGACCCTTGTCAAGAGGCACAAATCATCCCCTCACAGGGAAGAAGGAACTCAAACATGCAGAACTCTAGACTGATGCTGTGTGAGTAACCACAGCACTTCTTGATGTTCTCTACTGCAATTGCATTAACAGATTGTTAATTAAACAAAAACCTAATTGCTGATGCAATGTGGAAGAGCATCAAAAAGATTAATTATGATATGTGTACTTTAATTGAAAAAACTTTATATAATAAAATTTTGCAATAAAACTGGCCTGCTGTCAAAAAGAGAGGAACTATCAAGAGGCCTTCAAACCTCAAGGAATGAAAGTAAAGGAAAGCAATGTCTTCAGTCACTGATTTAGCAGCATGTCGTCACTGCATTTTTGTAAAGGAGAGCTCACATTATAAGCTTGCAGGGAAAAAAACCCTAAAACAACAAAACTCACCAAAAAGCCCTGCAGGCACCATGGCCTCATACACACAGGATTTTTTTTCTGGCAAAATATAAGGATAATTTGCTCATTAGCTTCCCTCCTTCTGAGCTGCATCTTACTGACTCCACAGAGTTTTGGCTCTCACTTCAGTAATGGTGGCACACTTGATCAATTTAGAGGAATGAGGCTCCCTCCTGGGGAGGAAGGCTCTGGCCAGGAATTCCCCCCCTCCAGCCTGCCACTCCAGATGGGGCAAGTGCCACATACAGAAGGAGTACAAAGTGCTTGGATGAGAAGGTCAGCACTTGCTGTAAGAACTGAGACATTCTTCAGTTATAATTGCATTGAAGAGCTTTATGCTTTTTAGTTTAGAGTCACGGAAAAAAAAAAAACATCCTTGAGAGCAGTCTAACAATATTACAAAGACCAGAGGATAACAAAAAAAAAAAANCTTGGATGAGAAGGTCAGCACTTGCTGTAAGAACTGAGACATTCTTCAGTTATAATTGCATTGAAGAGCTTTATGCTTTTTAGTTTAGAGTCACGTGCTTTGCACAACCATCCTTGAGAGATGTCTAACAATATTACAAATACCAGAGGATAACAAAAAAAAAAAAACTAAAAAAAAAAAAAAGACCAGAAAAAAAAAAAAAAAAAAAACCTAAAAAAAGGCTCTAAAACACAAAGACATCATCTTTGCTAACCAGGAGGAAGAAAAAGCACTTTTGGTAGTATTACAGTAAATGAATAATCACGTTCTACAGTAAATTAAAAATCATGTTCTAGTCTCTGAATTTCATTGGAATCACAGAATACTTTCCAAAACTGCTGCATACTCAGAAGGAACGACTGCCAGTTTGGATACTCAGCACTGAAGGGGACACAAGAATAAACGTTGTATTAAATGTTAAGGGAATTCTGCAGAAACTTCTATATGTCTAACAGATAAAACTCAGTTTTCTTATTAACACGTGTTATATTATTGGAAGTGTTACATCCAACAACTTCTTACACATACACCTGGATTTAAACATTTTCCTCAAAGTTCAAACAGTGTCACATGAAGAACCTGAAAATTAAACCTACCAGTCATGTTATAGGTAGGAGGGAAACCTGTTTATTTATTCATTAATAGCCAAGCTGAAATACAGAAAATAGACCCAACATGCACTCCAGATTTTACACATTCAGATATATTTTAATTTAATCACTTGATCATTTCTTCTTCAAGAATCATGCATTTTGTTGACCTTCCCAAATGGTTACATGCAGAGCCACAGCTGCTTACTTTCTCTAGATTCAATATAGCATCAACAGTTCCTAGCAGCTATGGATCCACTTGTGAGGCCCTGAATCAGCAAAAACCTAAACATGGAATTTATCTTAAGTATATGCATAATCATTCTGCTGACTCAGGTTAGCTGGGCTGATTTCTGATGGCCAATGTTTGTCTGAAAACAAAGAGCAATTTAGAAGATGTCTGCAATTCCATGCACTACACAACTTCATCTGTTCAGACACGAGCAAAGTGTCAGCGCTGGGGTGGGCAACAAGCCCTAGGGGCCTGTTCCCAGTGGGAACAAGGGTGTAAGGAAGCCTTGAGGAAGAACCTTGAAGATCACCATGAGACCCTCAGGGACTGCATGAATCTGGGAGGTGCACCAGGATCCTATTTAAGATTACATAGATTTAGCTTCAGGTGGATCTTTTTTTAATAATTAAAGGCAACAAATAGGGTAAAAATTTTCTCAGTGAGTCTTTTGAAATGCAAGACCTTCATTTCACAGTTGTGTCACTTTACTAAAAATACCCTAACAAACTTCCAGAAAGGACCCTGGACTTCCTTCTGTTTTATTTGGAAAGTTTGGTGTTTTCCCTATCACTTCAAGCTTTGGAAACACCCTTATAGCAATGAACATACTTCTCTGCAAACATAATTTCTAATACGTGATCTTAAATGCCCGGCCTGAACGCTGACCTTGGCCACAGGAAACAGGAACAAACAGACCACACAGAAGCCATGGAACAGGCAAACCCCCGTGGGTTCAGCACCCCAGAGCTAAGGCAGGGAGTCCAACCTGCAGCACTCCTGCAAGGACAAGCCACACAGCTCAGGACCCTCCTTCCTAAATGTCCTTGGGCTGCAGGCAAGGAGCAAGGAGCTGCTGTGCATGCTGCAGCATCAGCTGTGAGAGACAGCCCTGCAGCCCGACATGTCAGGGCCAGGGGACACCACTGCCAGGATGTGAATGAGGAAAGGAGAGGCTTATAGTCAAGCTCCTCCATCTGGAGCTGCCCAAAGCAGAAGAGAAACACTTTCCCATAAGGTCAGATGGGAAATAGCAGAATAAGCTTAAAGGACCTTCACAGTAGCATGCACAGTAAGCAAATCCAGGATTCAGCAAACATCCCGCTTGCCCACAGGCGATCATAAAGTTAATTCAAAAGTATTCTTACAAATGCTAGGAAGGGAATGAATTGGTTGTTTTATTTAGAGTTCCCATACGTGAGTCAGTAACTTTACAGAAATATCAAAGGGACAGGTCCTGCTTGAGGAAGAACAGAACAGAAAAAGTCTGTAAGACAGAGAAACAGGAGAGTTGAAGGCACAGGAAACCATTCATGCACTCAGCCACATGCCTGCCAGTATAGTTTTCCCATAGTTCAACCTCATTTGTGTCCTAAAGCAGAATCACTTCTGCAGCTTTATCATGTTACGAAATAAACCCTTTCTTGATCTTTTTTCTATCCCTCAGTAAAAGCAAGAGCAACATACTTCACACACAGGACATTTAACAGATCTGTCAAGATGGGTACATACAAAAACATTTTCACAACATTTGACATTGCAGTGAGACCAAAGCTTTATTTCCTCAAGATAGAGATCAAAACAACAACAAGGAGAAAAGGCATCTGCTCCTGTTTTTTCCATCTGGCTTAAACACTGTTGATACTTGCAAGAAGGCAGGGAGAACTTCCTCCCATCCCCTGACTACTCCTGCTGGGGCCAACAGCTTTGAGCATTCATACTCACAGCCTTACAAACCACAGCCTCCTCACATCTCTCCTCCCCAGGGGCCATAAGAACAACTCACAGCTCCTCAGAAATATTGCAGCTCCTTCTTTTCTCTGTACTGGCTACCTGTGAGTCCTCAGCTCTTCCACCTGCCCCATACACTTAACCCCCAGCAAACACCATGAGTCTGACAGCAGCTCCAAGAGGGACAGCACAGAAATAAAGCATCTTCACCACCACTTCAAAAGAACATCATAATGGCAAAATTAAGCAAGGGAATTAGATTAAAA